TAGTAATTTACACTGCTAATGAGAAAACGTTTTCTGATTTTGGGATAGTTGAATGAAACATTTCAAAATAGGTTGAAAAAAGCACCAACTATTCAATATTATTAATTCATTTCAATCACAGTCATTATTTGTTCAGTTGATTTTCTAGTAGTAATGTAATGCATTTATAAAATTAATTAGCAATCATCAGTTAGTTTTCATAATGAAGCATCAGACTAACGAGATATGTGGAGACGAAATGAATTTATGAAATGTTAGGTCAGCAAACAAAACAACGATAAACAATGCCGAGTTCTGTAAAACTTGCTTTGATAAAAACAGAAAAGTTACAGTAGAAGTACATTCTGCACTTGGATTGTCTGACCTCCCAAAGGGATTTTGGTTACTTTATTGAGTAACATCTAGTAAGCTAGTGAAATCAGTGGTTTCTCATGAAAATAGATGGAAAATTGATTATGAAGTAAATTTATCTCGTCGAGGGAAAACCAAACAAATGTTTAAAATATACTGTGTCTACATTTCCTCAGCAAGCTTCTGACTGTGCTTTAGAATTTATCCCTAAATAGTCTGTTTTTAAACTTGCCTTATTTGCTCCAATACTTGATGTTGACCTTGTAACTGAATGTTTGTTGTTGACGTCAGAATGTTTCTCATATCGCTGACTCTTTATCCACAGGCTGAAAATTAAATGGTTTCAGATAAGAGTGTACCTGATTATCGAATGGAAAGTGGTGTTAATCCACATTAAAAGCGTATTCTCAGCCAGTGAGTGAGTGTATTTTTAGAGAAGCTATGACAGTGTTTCTGTAACATTATAATCATTGCTTTTCCCTTCAGTATATCAATTTTCCGCTTGAAAACTATAGTGGAAGTTGTTAGTGATATCAGGAAAGTTAATGAATAAAATTTTCTTAAACCCTTTAAAAGTAGGGAACGACTAGAAGTTAAGACATGGAGCTGCTGTTTGCACAAAATTTATCATACTTAATCATTTAGCTGTAATGCTGTCAAATACTCAGTTATAATATTAATACAGAAAATAACCTAAGACATTAGAGACTATCTTTACAAAGTCCTCTGCAAATTAATTAACGGACTCCGCCACACATGAAGGATATAATGATTTACGAGTCACATACACGACTAGATTGACTAACGCTTGCACTTCCACTCAACTAGTTATACATTAGGGCTTATACTCAGTTGGCCGCAATATCTATAAAGTACTCATACAACGCACAAGAAACTTAAGCAGAACAAACTGAAATTAAAAGGGAATTCAGGATACTACCAAAAAACCAGATTCGCATCAGGAACAAAACCAATTTACCAAACAGATGAAACAGAAGTGATGTTGAGTTGATCACTTCACAGGACTCACCTACAAGCCGTCCAGAAACACAACCGCCAAACGCAGAACTAGCAGTGACCACTAACCCTCTGAAAAAAGCAGAAGTCTTGAAGTCCATGAAGTCAATAAAAGTCCGAGAAGCAGAAGGACCGGTCAAAATCACCCCAAAAGCACTGAAAACAGATCCAGGGACTTCAGTGTATGTGGCCACACAAATTTCTCAGAGGGTTCTGTAAAAAGTAAGATATTTATCGAATTTATAAAGGGAGGGACATTACCCTACGCAAGAACTAGTACGCAATCATGCTCCTGTCCACCTCAAGCAAACTATTAAGCCGCATCCTTCTGGAAAAACTAAAGAGATTTCGTGGATGTAAGACAACCCACAACAGTTTGGATTCAAATAACCCTACCGATAGCCACTACCATTAGGTAGTGATCAGGCTTGCATGTCGCAATAACCCAACAGGCCACACTGGCTGGAACTAATGTTTCTGCAGATCCTGCCATGTCATAAAGCTCATTTGGATAGCGGTTAGACTGAAAGCAATTACCACCATAGTGTAAATCGATGAGTCTGTGTTCGGGGTCCGGGGACGAAGTCTTACTGCTAGTGAATAGGAATGTAGTAGCAGTAAGGTGTTTCTGTATGCTGCCTCTCCACTTTAGAGACGGGGTTAAAAAGTTTGACCCTTGAAACTGTACATCATAACTTATCTAGCGGCAGCTAATGGACGAGAGTAATATCTTACTGAGTACACAACATTGAAAACTAACTGAAGCAAGCCGTGTGTGACTGGCCTCAAGCAGTTGTCCCTAGGATTCTGTGGTCACACAAATCTAGTACTTCTCTCCTAGGTGCCACGGAAAAAGTTAACCCCCATGGTGTGGTTAACCTGGAACCAATGACCACCAACACACTTCCTGATCACCACCCACCTTCATCCTCTTACTTCTGCTCCACCCCTAATACCATTTTACGGGTATATCCATCTCCTCATCTATGACTATTAATTGCTATGACAGCTGGAAAACTACTACTGATGGTCTCTTAAAGCCATATTATCATCTTCATATCAGCGCTTTCATTGTTAGAACCCTTCACCAAATTGAAAAACAGGAAAACCAAAACTGTGGCCTCTCGAGTCATGGATGTATACTGTGTTTCATAGACATGCATACACATGGAAGAGTGGTTATTCTCTCAACCCTTCCTATGTGACTCGACGAAACTGCTAAATTTACCTTACGGATGTCAATTGATGCTTTCACTAGTACACGAGGAATTGCTGTTGTAGGAATAGCATTGAGTGCTATGGCTGAAAAATCTCTACTTCACTGAATCCCAAATGGATAGTTGTGTGCTGTTCAGGTGAACTCAGGAGAAAGAGAAACTGTCATACCCATCGATCTCTTTTGGAAATCTTCGCTTATTCTCCAACCAACGGTAGTACCGACGAAGTATAGAATGAGCTCTATCAAAAGCTATCCAGTTTGCTGCTTAAAGCAAAACGACCAGATAAATTGATATAAGTATAAAACTTGGGCACTGTGGTAGAGTGTAGCTCCATATATATATATATATATATATATATATATATATATATATATATAAATGAAGGAAAAAGCTGTGTGAGTAACTTGATATGATTATGAGCAATAATTTGCGCTCGAAACGTCATCAGTTAATATTACTGTGTAACACTGTGTGATTGATCAAAATAAAATCTTATCCATAATGGACCAGATAAATTCACTTCAGCAGGTCACTTCAGTACCCAAGTAGGGAAGCTGTGCCAGTCAGAAAAGTATACTGGAGGAACTTATAGAGTCCCATGCAGAAGAACTGACAACAGTGATCGTCTCTTACAGTTCTTTTCAGATAATCATATGTTCTAACTTCAAACATAAGCGACATTGCCTAACTTAGAGACCACCATCATTAAATCAACGATATAAGCAAAGAGATTACGCAGCTGTCAGCTGTTGATGGAAAGGATCGGTAGAAGATTGCCGCTCCCTCAATGCATGTATCTGCTTAAGACTCGGCGCATACTGAAGGCAGACAGTTACGAATTCAATATGTCCCCAACTTGATGAGAACTCAGAGTTTTTATTTAAGGTAGAAACAACTAAACGCGTATCTAGGACATACAGTAAGACTCATCCTGAAGAAGACAGGCATTATATCCAGTCAGCTTTAGAAATAAACGCAAAGGCTGTTGATAACCTGAAAACAAACCTTAGTGAATGCCGGTGGATTTATGATGCTTCATCAGAACTAATGGACGTAAGAATACTGATTTTAGCATGCTCTGAACATGAGGAGGAGGGAAAGCTGCTCAAACACAAGTTTTCCAAATGTCTGTGCAATGACAATGAGCAGTGGTGGGAGATACGAATCAGAGAGACGGAGGTGGTATCTGAGGAAGGTAACATCAGACAACTATTTAGGCTCATTTGGAAAACAGGTAATACATGTGGTGAGAGCTGTCTACTAGCCAAATTGGTAGACAGTAATTTACGTCAATATTTACGTTCCCAAGATTTGTCGTGAGAAACAACCAATCGAAAGACTGTGTTTGTTTGTTTATATATCCATAGTAATGTAGATGGAAACATATATAAATATGCGTTGATTTCCTTAATAAATGATCTGTTGCCTGACTCTTGCCTTCTATCGTTACATACATGCAACCCAATACAGTTTCTGATATAATTTTCAACTGCATTACTGGCCGCTTGTATTCTCATATTCATGGATTTACAACTTCAGAACCTGACGAAAAAGTTATAGAAAACAAATGCTCGCTCAAAATTATCTTGTTCTGATTGCACTATGGGGATTTTTAATTTACAGAAATCTTGTTATCTTTGGCATGCGATAGATGCAGAAGTGGTCACCACTGACTTCCAGTTTAAAGATAGGGACTGATTATTTCACTTTTTGGGGAAGTTGCATTAACTCTTATGAACTAAGGACTGATGAAATTTCACTACTGATTCGAACTGCTAGTGTGGCACTTCCCAAATTTCGTCATTTCTAGTGTGGATGTAAAATTTGGCTGCCGATCAAAGGTCGCACGTATTGCGCTGCAGTTATCTCTGCCTCTATTTATGGCTCTAACACAGGACCACTGAAAGTGGACAACCTGGAGAGGCTAGATATTTGCATTCCATCTGTTATGTTAAGTGATGCCATAAAGTAAATAATATTGAAGTTAGGAGTACAGTCTTAGGCATGGAGGGGAAGTCAGTCGATGGAGTTGTGAATCTAAAAAGATTGAGATGGCTAGTACACTTGTTATGTATACCAAGCCATCACCTTCCCCATACCCATGTTATCAATAAGAGTTAAAGGTGATCATTTCGAAATGTGTCGGTCGTTTAGCGGTGGGATGCTCGCAAACATTGACGTGGTCCTGAGTTTGACTCCCCCAGCTTTCTGGCATCACTTGACTGTATTAGTTGGAAATCACGAATCACTGAATTACAACCCACTGATTGAATAGTAACCGATTCAGTATGAGTCTTCTTCTCTGGTCGATGATTCCATCTCACACTGGGTTGTGAATGCACATTACTGATGAGTTCATGATTGTAGTGAAAGAGCTGTTCAGTACCTGACGATTCTAATGCCCAATTGTAGCAAATACACACTCACTGAGGTGGTGAATACATATTTTTAATGTTTAGCTAGAAACTGTAGTGATCTCAGCAGTAATGTACTGTCTGAGAATGCAGACGAGTGAGGGTCGTCAAATTCTTCTCATCACCTACTGAATGAACAAATTGACCTGGTTTCTGTGTTAATCTGCAGGATTAGAATTTGAATGACTGTGTGTGTGTGCAAAGCTAACAGTTTTCTCGTCAATTGGAGATGACTACTGATTTTCGCTGCAAGTGAGTAGTTTATGTGGTGCGACATAATTTGTTTGCGGATAGTGATGTTCATGCATCTCTTTCTCTTTATGATTGAACTCCGTCCACCCTGAACACTAGTCTCAGTCTGCTATTTCCAACAGGTCTTTTTCCTGATTCTTGTCTTCATTGTTTTATGGTTTACCTTTCCCAGTCAGTTACGAGAACTTCCAATAATTTTCAACTTCTCTCAATGAAGATGGAAGGAGTTATTAAAAGAAATATTTTATGATGACAAAGTGTGAACTATTCATCTGCCTTCTTGTGGCGGTCACACAGAATTCTGAAGTTAAGTCTAGCTTCAGTGTTAGACTTGTTTATGTGGAGATATCAAGGTGTACTGAATTATTTACTCGATAACATAAAGGGTGAAAATTGTGTATAAGTGTTTCACGTCAAGCAACTAACTTCGGTGAGCAGTTTCATTTTATAGCATGCGCGTGCGTGTGCACACAAACACACACACCATAAGATACAAATTTGTTTTTACTTGAAATGTATCTAATTGTCAGTGTTGTATGAAATGAAGACAGAAGTTGTGAAGGTAGTCCAAAACTTGACTAGTCTAATGTGAAGATATTCACAACTTATTATATGTCAAGAGTTCTCTCTGACTCGGAAACTTCAGAAACTGGCATAATGAAGATACATGTGTGATAGTCAAATATAAATGATGTTTGTTTGTTAAATATCTATGCCTAAAGTTTTGTTCTGTCTCAATACTTTCATGAGATAATGAATGATGCATATTTCAGTTATCCAAACATTTATTCACAGTCTAAATCATAATGAAGACAGTTCTTTACTTCCCCATCTTGTAGCCACCTCAGTCACTCTGTAATTTAAGGACAAAGCATATAAGTTCGCCTGAGTCATTTGGCTGACTGAATAAAATGACAACTGTGTATATATTTCCCGATACAGTTTGCATACTATATGAGTTACAGAGTAAGGTGAAGGAGCAGTTCAGTTACTTTTTATTGTTAACTTTGATAAATATTATGTCGGAGTGAGTTCGTTCACCAGAAGTAATTACCAAATTCATCTGAATCACTAACTGGAGTTTCTTTGCTGGCCCCTTACAAATTAAACCTTCAACAATATTTGCAATTCACAAGTTCTGCTTTCCTTTTTAAACTTTATTACAATACACCGAATTTCGTAATTCTACAATGGCTTGGATATGATTTCTTTATTTCTAGAACGCTGCTAATTTTCTCTAAATACACCAAAGCATAAGTCGTTGTTTAGATTGTCTTAGTCCATTGTTTTACACCAGTAATACATTGTCTCAACATTTCTAGTATTAAGATGGTGATGTTAGTGAAATGCTTTATACAGACGGTAAAAGAGTGAATTGTCCCGATTATGAGTGGGTGTGATAACACCATTTGGAAGAAGTGAGGCTAGCCAAATGCAAACACACATTGAGTCTGACTATCACTAATGCTCTGTAAAGATGTGCGGTTCACTTTTGCCCACAGTTCTAACAAATGGAGTGCTTCTATTAAAACATTTTTTGGTTTTTTAAATTCAGATTTTCCTAACTGAATCGAGTGCGTCAGTGGCACAGCGGTTAGGACTCTCGCCGACCATGCACATGGTCCGGGGTTCGATCCCCTGCCGGCGCACACCTGTTATCAATGGTCGGCCCACAAAATTTGGGCTACCGATATCACATGCTGAAACTTCCATACTTGTACCAAAAATACTGTATGGTTTCAAGCTGTAATAAAAAAAGTGTCAAAGTGACTGTTCCAAACTAAGTGGCTTTCTATCAGAAATCAACCAGTGGTCCAAGGAAAACGGTCTTACCTTAAATCCCTCTAAATGTCAAACAGTCAGTTTCAACTTTAGGCATAAATCTGACCTAAACAAACTGGTTAGCACTCACGAGGTGTGCAACATAGATGTCACTCAAATAGAGACCAAGTCGGAAACTAAATATCTTGGCGTCATTCTATCTGCTGATCTTTCCTGGTCGTCTCATATCTTGATGATTTTTAAGAAGACATTCCATCTTACCTTCTACATCAAGAAGTTAAGACATTCTAGAATAATTCAAGCCTTACTCTTCCGATTCGTTAACTCTTGCATCCTGCCTATTATTCTCTATTGTTCCCCCTTAGTTTTTCCAGGGCTACTGAAGAAGGACTATATCTTATTGCGTAGGATATTAAAGGTTGTCAGCAGGGTAAGCAACGTGCCACTTAACCAGCTTGTTAATATTCTGGTCGACAGGCACTCGGACTCATATGAAAAATGGGCTAAATCCATTCTATCTAACTCACACCACTCTCTTCATTCACAACTCTCCCCTTGTTTCTCATCAGGCAGGACCAGAAGCCTATAGAGAAAACTATATGCTCGCACTAGCAAGTAAAAATACTCAACCATACCCTACTTGGCTCGTGCTCTGTGCGATAAAGCATTAGGCGTGAGACTTATAACTTATTAAATAGTCAGTAGAACAATTGGATCTCGTCTTTCCAACTCATATCATTTATAGGTAAGTTTTCTTCCTTCCTTTTCTCATTTTTTCGTGCTGTGCTGTTTTGTTTCTCTCTTCCTTACAAACTCTACTTAAAAAACATTCTTCTTCGTTCTTCCACACTCTGTATATATTGACCTTTTTGTTACTTCTTACGCCAGTAAATATGCTAGTATCTACTTTTCTAACACCTTCAAACATTCTGTTCACTTTTGGCTTTGCTACCGATATGCTAATATGTTGTCAAAATTAACTGAGACTACCCATAATCTATGTAGAATTTTATTTATTGGTAATGTACAAACTGGATGCAATACTGTAGTGAAATGCTGAGAATTCCATTCTGTATCACAAGTACTGTTTTGGAACAAAGCAAATTATTATTAAAAAAACATCCATTTTCTCTTCGTCAATTAAACATTTTGAGGTTGCTTGATTTGAATGAAATATTCACCACAAACAGATATCACAATCGATCTTATAAGAATAACGCTACATTTAGGCACCACATATGTGTATCCAATGATGTACATTTGCTAACTCCACTCACTTTTCTGAAAAACACATTATCAACTTGGATTCTGCAGTCTCGAACACACGATGAGCTATTCACTTTCTCTTCTTATGGAGTTGAAATATGTGGTACTTTCAGGTGCTTTGTTCCAAACCATGCTGATCTCCGCTTACATAACTTGTTATGATTTACGAAGATACTATGTTTCATCATATATTGTGTGCGCACACTGCTGTAGAATCTCCAAGCAGAAAATCATAACTTTCTAGAACTACCTGGTTCATCACTTTATCTTTGCGGTGAGTATTAAAATATGAAGCTTTCAAATGGACCTATTTATCTTTTATGCACCACTGTGTGCGCATCACTGGAAATGAAAATTCTCATTTGAACTTACAGCCAAACTGAGAAATGCTCCAGGCATAAACTGATACTAGTTAGTCAATGCCGTTTTTATCAAAACCAATAATTATAGCAGATTTAAGTATACTAGGAAGTCATTCTACCTCGATGACTACATTATGATTCAGGTATACTTTATGTAGTACACCTTTTTGTGGAGAGAAAATGAGTTACAAGGGTGCTCAACGAGCTAAATGCTTACATAATTTCAACCTAGTCGAATTGCTACTTCACACTATATACTAGTGTTATATCACTCATTATATACTCTGCCCATGCTTTACTACAGCAAAGACAACTACCAGCGCTACACTCAACATATAGAATAAAATTCGGATTTTCAACACCAATGTTAAGGGAGTCAGTCCTTCTGCTGCTGCTGCGTGACCGCAGAGCCCAGGGGACAACTGCTTGAGGCCGGTCACACACGGCCTGTTTTTGTTTGTTGTTTTTTATTTGGTGTGTCTCAGTAGCGTATTTATCACTTCTGCCCTGTGACAAGGCAGCAGAAAGCGCGGTCGTTGTTAATCCGGGCCCCGATCGATCCGGCATGATATTTTGTGATTTGTTTGAAGTCATAGGATTGGGTTGGGTAACTGCTTTTAGTCTAACCGCTATCCGAACAACATTCCTGGCATGGTAGCACCTGCAGGAACATAAGTTCCAGCCAGTATAGCTTGTTGGGTCATTGCGGTGTTCAAGCCCGACCACCACGTCAAGGTAGCAGCTTTCGGTCAGGAGTCAGTCCTTCTATCAAGGCGCGTCACGAAAAGTATTTCCAACAGCCTGCTGCAGATTTTTACCAACATCTACCTTCACTCTATACTCAACCTAAGGTGGTTAGAAAGAATTAGCAACAAGAAACTCTGAGAACGAACCAATCAAGAATCTATTGCTCAACAAATATGTAGAAGAAAACGGAGACGGGCCGGCCACAAGCTGAGGAGACTGTTGGGTGACATCACAGGAACCAGGCATTGACTGGGACCTGAATGTGAAACGACGAGTTGAGCGTTCGACGGTGATATGGAGCAGATGAAAGCTTATAGGAAAACGTGGAGCTAGCTTAAGAGAACAACAGGGAGATGTGTTGTTGAAGCCTTATGTTCCGCCCAGAACGCAAGGGGATAATAATAACCTTTCACTTTTGTGTATTATAGGGTGATTATTCGAAAACCCTATATCGGTAGCTTATTCTTATCTGGTACACAATATCAACAAATGGTTGGACGTGCTGGTCGGGCAGGTTTAGATACTGTCGGTGAAAGTATTACAATATTACAAACAAATGAACTAATACCATTCGCCCATATGCTATCTAGTATACCTCAACCGTTATTGGATCCTAAGGATGTTGAGGTGAATAATCAGTCAGTGGGTTTGTGCAATAGTAATTTGTTATATGAAAATAGGAAGGGTTTACGACAACTTATACTCTCACTGATTGGTCTGGAGGTGAGTACTAACCACAGTAATCCGTACTTTTAACTTAGAATGACATTACCTCACTTTTAGGATACTAACATCAAGCGAGTATTAAGACAGTCTTCACTACACTATGATAGTAACTAGTTATAATCTCAATGCTGTCCAACCTACTTCCCTCAAATTTCAGTCTGTAGTGCTGGTCTAAAGCAAAGCAAAAGTAATTATATTTTCTTTCTGTTTCTGGAAAATAACATTTATTAGAAATCAAACGGATTTGTCAAGTGAAAATTTAGGCTGAGATCAAATTACATTATTTTGAAAGACAAAAAACTTCAAGGAAAAAAATATAGAGATCAGTCATTTGAAGGAGAAAAGTAAACTTGTGCATAGAAAATTTCATTATCACTTTGAGTAGTATCATGAAAATAAATCTTCATCTTCTTCTACAGCCACATTAGAAGAACTGAGTTTGACGTCATGTCCATTGACTGGGCTGATCGCATCCTGAGGAAATGGCTTAAACTTCAAGTAATTAGCCATTTGAGAAAGTAGACTTTTATTTCCAATTCCAGATAGCATTTCACTTGCTTCCTGGAAAAGAGCATCAGCTCTCTCTGATACCAACATTTGAGCAGCTTGTATCATCTCTTTAGCCACACGTCTGGATAAAAATGGGGCCATACGACTGGTGAGATCAGAAGCATTGGCACATGCAATATCTTTAAGAGTACAGTAGCCTAGACTGTACAACTGCCGGGCTCTAGCCTGATAACAAAAAAAAAGGATAAAAAATTAGTTGGAATGGATCAACCATTAAGCGTCTGAAGTTTTTAAAAAAATTGAATGACAAGTAATATAGTCACAGAGTATACATACCACGCAATTTTGTTCAATTCCGTGATACTGCATGGGTTTAACTATTGACTGAAACTCAGGGATCATAACGCTAGAAATGTTGTGAGTATAGTGGAAGACTGCAATCAGTCAAGTTACTGCTGAGTCAACTGAAGTGGTTTAACGCCAACTGGTTGAAGGTATTGAATAGAACACATTAAACCACTCTGGCTTAAAATCAAACACGATAATGCACATCTAATTATTTGTACTAAGTGGAAAAAAATCCATTCAGATGCTCACGTGGTTCACTTTCGTACTTGATAAATACAGATTTCCTTTTGTTTATATAGTTGCACTGTGCTTGAACTGGGTGCTAAAGGGAAGGTTTTGTTCTTCTCTAATCAACGATAAACTGTCATCCTCAAATAATGAGGACAATACACTTTATCCTTGTATGTAGTGTAATTGACGAAGTGCCATGCTGATTTGTAGAGTTATCGTTCTTCGCTGTAATCAGAAATGGCAAAAGGTATGGGTGGAATAATGCTGTACAAGACAGGAATCCATCAAGTTATCTATATCAGCACAGAAAACGATTCCGCATAAAAAACACTCAAAATGACTTCACTACGACAAAAAAAATGACACAACTTTCTTGTTACCTGGAATATTAAGTACACAAAATAATAAACCTACCCTCTTTACTCCCGGCAACTCCATTAATGGTAGTAATTCACTCGAAACACAATACGCCAGTTTTGTAGCAAATTCAGGGAGCAGATGTGCAAAAGCCCATAATTCTGAATCATTCGAAAATTCGCTGATTAATGCATGTGCCAATGAGTTAGCCATTGATGCAGCTGAACTCAGTAAGGACTGAAGAGCGCCACGTGAAAGTTTATAACGTTCAGCTACAAACCATATTGGGGAATTTGAACTATTGTGCCATAATTCAGAAAGAGCTAGAGCTATATATAACCGACGAAGTGGTCGTTCATCTAGTTTCTGTAAGATGAAAAAGACAGAGCAGTTTGAAAGTGGATGTTGTCACGTATCAAGGATGACTAGAAACCAAGGCACATTTAACACATGTTCCGGTAAATTGCTTTTGGTTGTGATTCTTTACTTTATTATAATTAACAAGTAAAACGCTAATGTGTACTAGATTAGAGAGCGAGGAAACTTGCATACTGCACTTGAAAGGTAACTAAATATTCGAGAAACAGTTAAAACTAAGACAATTACGCATAAAATCAATAATGCGAAAAAGTAACAAATAAACCGACAAATGGAATAATGGAACACTCACCTTAGCAACGAATATTCAACAGACGAATCAAGTATAAAGGCATATATATTAGCTAAGGAAAGTACAGATGCATTTACTCATATGGTTAGTGAGTGATTTGGCGATTTTCGAATCAGACAAAAAATGCGTGACCATAATATCAATGAAAGCTCTATCCGAAAGAACCCTAGGTGAAGAAGGGTGAAATTTCTTACTAAACACATACATAAGTAGTAAAGCGTCTCTCAACAAAGTATTCTTTTTTTCAATAAGATAAACTAATCTGGTTTGTACATTTGTATTCATCAAACTGAAAACTGAAATGATTTGATCACTAAGTCTCAGAACAAACGCTAGATTTGGTATCACTACAATGTTTACTGCATAAATTAAGAATAAACAAAAAGATAGATTCACATTGAAATGAACAATGTAAAAATTCAAACCAAAAGGTGAGAAAGAATACTTACTCGTTTTATGGGATATCCAGTTGCTTTCCATAGAATATAGCCTTCAGGAAATCCTAAAAGACTGACTAAATTGGTTTCGTTCTGTGGCATAAGATTGACACGATCAAAAAGAAGACTCCAGTCGATTTGAATAGTATCTACAACTTCAGGTGGTGCAATTAAGTAGAGAAAATGTAACGGGCCACTAGTATTGATCGCTCTGGCAGCTGCACGTAAATCCGACACCAAAGACCCAATACGATCTGTATCAATTCCACCTTTCACTGATGCTCTACCTAACTTCGTTGCCTTTCAAAAATTCAACAACAAAAATGAGAAAAAAACGCCAGTGTTCACATACTCAAACTGTTTTACATACCATACCAGTCTGTAAATCAACCATGAAGTCATGTAAGTACTGTATGTGGATAACATAACAACATTTCCTATTTGGACACTTAAATATTAACCTTGATAAATACACTAAGTGTAGAAGGTTTTTAGTAATGCATGGTAGGATACATCGATTTTTGTATGTTGAAATTTGAACCATTCAAAGAGACTTAGTGATGTTCATCTACGGACTGTCATTTGAAAGCATAACGTTCCTTTGACTGTAGTTGTTTTAATACTTAGGAGACTATTTCATTCAAATTTTTGGATCTTGGGTGATTTATTTTTCAATAGTATTTACTGCCATAAACTAGCTGCAAAGTATATCAAAATTACATATGCCTGTGATGAGAAAAATTATTAAGTCAATATAGTCATCCTGAAACAATGAATTCACTGGCTCACACATATCAGGTAAGTGTCATAAGTGAGCCGAGCTAGACAGTGCAGCTAAGTTAGTGTTTTGCACTGTCTTCAAACTTCACGGTTAAAGGCATTTATTTTACAGGTGGAGGTATATTTCAATGCGTGAGCATTTGCTAGTCTTGGAAACACCACCATCACTGTTATTTCACGCTTTTATACTAACTGAATGCTATGAATACAATTTACATAGTAGAAATCTTAACATTTAAAAAGTGTTCTTTAATTGAAAAAATGATTATGCAAGTAGAAATTGGGTGCCTTATTTTACAATCTTTTATCATCAACGGTAAAGTGCGTAGTGTAGATGCACTGACTGAATGTGTTCGACAATTTGATGGCTGTTTCCCATAATAGCTTTCCTTCTAAAAAAAGTTTTTTTTTTACTTATTCAATACTCCAACTGATTATCAGGATCGTAATCATTCATATTTAATTGCACTTAGCTGACAAATCATATCTTGCCCGAGAGTAAACGGAAAGGGAAGAGATAGAGAGAGAGATACACAAATAGACTTTATAAGATAGACTGCAACTGTCCACTTCACATTCATATTCAGCACCAACTCCACTTTTTTAATGTGTCATTTAATTAAATATAATTAAAACACAACAGCTTACGTTCATTTCAAGATTTATAAATACTCGTTTAACTTAAGATATGTTACCAATAAGAAACCAGTTTAAGCATTAAAATTAGCTATTGAAATTATTCAGCTTAAACACTTGACACCGTTGTGGTTAATAGAATTAAAGTTCAAGTATAGGATTTATGGGATAATAATTCGCCGGAATTCGCCGAAAAGAGTCTCTTCGCTGAATGTCTTCTCTTTTTCATATGACTCAATGGGGATTTTCAATCTACTCAAACGTTGCAAGGACCCAGTGACGGTGAAGGAGCTGGATGGTTTCCTGCGTTACTCCGTCAAGCTTGCGGTAGCGAAGACAAAGATTGATTTCTTAAGAGATTGTATAGATCGACATGAGTATCCAAAGATGTATTGGAAGTCACTCAGACGCAACCACATCCAACCGAATACCAGAACACTCAGACGACACACACGAAACAACATCGACTCCATTCAATCACGCGTCCCCGAGCTAGAGCGAAACGTCTACTCAAGAACTCATGTAGTCGAAGACTTAGATCAAGAACTACGCCATTCCTTCGAAGAATATGTACAACAAGTCACTCAGAAAGAATGTAACAAGACTAAAGCAGATCTTCTCAAAAGCCTAAAGCCTACAATTAACACCGAATCTCCGTTCCCAAGCAATCCAGAAAAGTACGTATTCAATCTTTCAGACATCACACTGTCTACTACTCAACTAGAGGCACTATCTCTAGGTCCAAAATTCTGCGTAAAACCACCAAGTATTGACAAGCTACAATGCCAGGTTCAGTTCGAAAATCTAATAAACCAAACTTACGATCTCACACCTACATCAGACGAAAACCTACAACAATTCAAAGCATCAATCCTCGACTGTTGTCACAAGTTTATAAATACCAAACACAACGGAAGGTCCATCTTGACGAAGAGGCACCATAAGGAGCTGAAAGAACTTATGAAAAACGAAGAGATTATGATATTACGTCCTGATAAAGGCGGAGGAATCGTAATCATGAATCGCAAGGACTATATCAGTAAAATGCTGACTATACTATCCGATGAATGCAAATTCACAAAACCGATCAACGAGAAAAACATGACTGAACGGACCGAACAAAAGCTAACGGACACCCTCCGTAAGTTGAAGACTGAATCCTTCATCAGCAACGAAATGTTCGAATCCCTTAGACCATCTGGCTCAAATATACCACGACTTTACGGACTCCCGAAAGTACACAAGAAGGGTATCCCTCTTCGACCGATCCTCGACATGACCAATTCACCCTATCACCGCACAGCTCAATGGTTAGCAGATCTACTTGAACCAATCAGAAAACAAGTTTCCTGCCACACAGTTCGAGATTCATTCGACTTTATCGACTCAATCGAAAATATCAACGTATCCAACAAGACAATGATTTCATTAGATGTCACATCACTATTCACAAACGTTCCACTGACTGAAACAATATGCTATATATGCGAACTCATTCACTCCAAAGGAATAAACATCGGTATACCCACCGAGCATCTTAAAGAACTCCTACTGAGGTGTACCCTGAATGTTCAATTCTCTTTCAACAACGAAATATATCGCCAAAAGGATGGTATAGCTATGGGCTCACCACTAGGCCCTTTGCTTGCAGATTTCTTCATGGCAAAACTCGAAAACACATGCCTGAAGAAAATGATCAATACCTTCGAAATCTATAAAAGATACGTCGACGACACCTTCATTATCGTCAACAACGAAGAAAATCTAGACGACATCTTGAAGTCGTTTAACAACTGCCACCCTGCAATTCAGTTCACGATGGAGAAAGAGTCCAACTCCACAATATCTTTTCTTGACGTCCAACTAACAAGAAGAGAACAGGATGGACCACTGAAAAGATCTATCCACAGAAAATCGACGTGGAACGGACAGCTTACTAACTTTCACAGTTGGGTACCACTATACACCAAACGAAACCTGATCCGTTCACTCAGCTACAGAGTTCGCAGAATTTGCACCCCGGACACCATAGAAGATGAACTGGACAACCTCAAGAGAATCCTCGTCGAGAATTGCTATCCAGAAAGATTTATTGCAAAATCTATGACCTAGACCAGAAAAGCCGCCCATACTTAGCGTCAAGAAAAAACTACTCTACATGAATCTTCAATTCAATGGAGATTTATCTGCGGAAACACTAAAAAATCGACTGTCGCGCTCACTTAAGAAGACCTTCTTCGCAGCTGAACTACGACTAACCTTCTCCACAAAACCTATGATTCATGTGAACGTGAAGGATAAGCTACCGCTGCTGGCCTCATCAATGTGCATTTATCAATTCACCTGCTCGTGTGGAGCCAGGTATGTCGGCCGTACCCAGCGCTCGCTTTCCAAACGTATCACAGAGCACTTACCAACATGGTTTTACAAAGGAGAAAATCGATGCCCCCGCAGTTCCATCTTAGAACATCTGATAGAATCCGGACACCAAGCTACACCACAAACAAACTTCAAAGTCGTCTACAGAGTAAGAAGTAGTCTCCCTAAAGGTGTACGAATCAGACTTCTTCAAACTGCAGAAGCAATGGCGATTCACTTGCTAAGTCCTGAACTCTGCATACAGAAGAAGTTCGTTCAATCACTACACTTGCAATGGACGTAATCTATCTTATTAGCCGACATGTAAATTCTACCTAATCTTTTCTTCTGTCTCTTCACTAGTATTATTTTGTCTTCTCAATTGGAACATTTTACATTCTCAACCTTCTTGTTCTCTACCCCCACCCGATTCAATTTCTACACCTCACTACCACTGTTACTGACTTGAACAACGCTCAGTTTCTAGTCATTCATGTTACGTCATCCAACTTATTCACTCAATTTCACTTCTACTTAATCTCTACCTGTAATTACCTCTGTTGCTATCCTGACCTAAGTTGTAACATTTTAGCCAATTTTATTACGTCATGTAGCTTTTTAACCCAATCTTACTTTAGTTGCTATCTGATTAACTTTGTCTCTATACTACATCATTCTTGTATTAACTAATCAATTATCTAAACTTGACAAACCTCATGTACACACACACACAAATATTTATATATAAACGCGATTGTACAGCTATGTGAATGAATTCGCCGAAAAGAGTCTCTTCGCTGAATGTCTTCTCTTTTTCATAATAATTATAAGATAATTATGATTACGAAAACACACAACTACTTTCATTATCCAGATAGTCAGTGATTGCGGATGTACGAATAGATTGTGTGTGTGTGTGAAGGAGTAGAGGCGAAGAAACCCATCGTTTTAAAGCGCATAGGATAATCAAGTATTTCATTTTATAATAAATTGCAAAACTAAGACTAAAATATTCAATTACTAAATTTGATAAAAACATACCTGGAATCGACTTTTCTCTAGCACAACATTTGTTTCTAAAGCAGGTTTTGTCTTGTTTAAAAAGGCATCAGTTGGGACAATTACAATAAGTTCCATTTTAACTAGTGAATTTAATTCAAGACGAACTAGATCTTCAAAACTATCCGGTTGATATAAACGAGGTTGTGCCGCCAATAAAGTTTTCTCACATGACCAAAGAATATCTGCATACGTAACAGCTAGCTGTAGAATTAAATATTGTATGAAAGAGATTATAATATTATAAATATATTCATCGGTAATTATTTAATAGATGTGATAATCCAATGAATTCGACCATATCTCCTTACGTCTTAGAACAAGGTTGAATCCTCAAAGCAAGTTGGCTGGTTGAAAAGGACTGAAGTTTGGATGTCTTAATAGTTTTAACATTGCTTCATTACTTATTAAATTCTGAGTAACTACTTATGAAGATTAAACCTCATAAACTACTGTACTAGCAATAGCAGATGAATACTGGGTAACACTATGCTTCTTACGCAGCCTGCTATTATTCCATTCATTATAGTAATATGACGTGAATGCGCATAAATTGACTTTATTCAGTAGCGACAACAAAAGGAGTTACGGTAACTTTTATATAATAGTGAACAACCATTTAGTATTACTAGGTAGTGTGAATAATCTTCACGACAATCCATGTTTAAAAAAATCAAATACCATACCCAGTGATAAAGGCAAGTCACTGACAGTAGCATACCAGTTTCAATTCCTCAGTTCATAAAAAACTCACAAAATACATTGTTCAGTCTGAGTTACTTAAGTTACCTCAAATATATCACACGAAATTAAAAGACTTTGTCAATGTAAGTCTGGTGTGTGAACTCAAACAGAACAGTGGTGGGGTGTGTGACTGCAGTACTCGAACATTGGAAAAATGATACTTGTCACCAAATAGTGACCCATGTTCATCTGGTCAGAATTCGCTCAGAAAATAAAAGTGAAACATTAGAAATCAATTCCAAATAAAAAGAAAAGGATTACTGTGGTTAGTACTCACCTCCAGACCAATCAGTGAGAGTATAAGTTGTCGTAAACCCTTCCTATTTTCATATAACAAACTACTATTGCACAAACCCACTGACTGATTATTCACCTCAACATCCTTAGGATCCAATAACGGTTGAGGTATACTAGATAGCATATGGGCGAATGGTATTAGTTCATTTGTTTGTAATATTGTAATACTTTCACCGACAGTATCTAAACCTGCCCGACCAGCACGTCCAACCATTTGTTGATATTGTGTACCAGATAAGAATAAGCTACCGATATAGGGTTTTCGAATAATCACCCTATAATACACAAAAGTAAAAGGTTGTTTAGCTCCATTTCACTAACATAGCGTAGAAGTAAAATGAATAATGTTAACGTATGACACAATAAAGTGTATGGCAGAGATCCGAATAAGAGAAAGTAGGCAAATAATTACGTCATCGAGCAGAACCATAACTCGTACATTTCTATGCAGAACGCATAACTTAAACAGAAAGTCGTTATCGCATCAAACTTCACACGATTGTGGGCTTTGGCGAAAGCAGGGTAGAGAAACTAGTCTCAAGATAAGAAAGTATCTTCGTACAGCATAGAAACCGACTGAAGGAGAAATCTAGATAAATTCAAAAAAATTTATGTGGAATCTATCACATCAGGAAATCACTTCTTTTTGTTATATTTTTTCAGTTTCATAGGAAGATGAAGTAAATCCCGAATAAATGTGCTCGAGTTAGCAACCACCTATTTTCCATGAACAGCTGCTCATAGATACACATTGCGTCTACAGCTCTAGACTCTAGAATCCTGGTTGATGAGACTGAGGTTCGTAGAAAACGAAGTGAAGTTAGCAAATATACATCATTCAATGCATATATTCGGTGCCATAACTCAACCCGCATGTCATGTGATTCAATCTGATATCAGTTTGTGGTGAACATTTTATTCAAATCAACCAACTTCAAAATGTCTAATTAATAAACAAGAAATGAGTAAACCTTGTGGATGCTATTTCAGTTAAAAAACTTTGAATTCAACTTTATGGGAGATATTCTTTGACAGACAACCAGAAAAAGAAACAGACCATTTATTGTTGAGCATGCAGTAGGGAATTACTTTTTATAAGTCATACAAATCTTAGTAGATACTATATTTTACTGAAGCGTTATGAGACATTTTACTAAGTTCTTGCTGTAACCCTGACGCGATTAGAACACAGGCAATTGAAAGTTAATATGCAGTTGAAACATGCATATCTTACATACTAGAAGGACATTATACCTATGCGCACTATGACATTTTAATGACGAAGTGATGTAGGCACAACAAATTGGCTAGATAAGCTCAAGTCAATAAACACATCTATTTCTAGGGTTTTTACATGAAAATATCCAAGAATTTCAATGAGCAAAGACTGTTTTTCAACTTGGGATGAGGTTCAAGCAACTAAGATTAGAAAATGTGATGTGACTTGGAGACTGGTTTCATAAAACCAGAAATAGTGCCTTGAGGAGTTCGATAGTCAGTAAGAACTAAAGATATCCCAGGACATGAAGATATACCAAATTTTTTGATGAGGTTGTGTTCTCTGAACTAGGCGACATAATCACGAAGCTGTCACTATCCTTCCAGATATCAATACAAAGATTATAAAAAAACTCACTTCAAACTGAAGCAAGTTCTGAAGATGTTCTCAAGAAGGACAATGAAAACTCAACAACTAAACCACCCAACTCAAACGAGACAACCACACATACAGTATATCAAAAAGTGAGTTATTGAATAATGCATTGAAGTCGTCGAAGACAATATAGAGGAGGGTTGATGGTCACAAGGAAGTGGGCGCCACTACAGTTCAAGTCGCCACATTCCATGTAGCACACGATGCAAGAGAAGAAAGTATAAGAAATGCATAATAGAGACAGTAGACACGGATATGGGACAAAAGGAATAGTAATAACGAAGAGTAATATAGTTTCATTGGAAATTATAAGTCACAAGGAGTGGATGCATCTGCGCCACTGAGAACGATTTTGAGCCATATCACCGATTGTTTCCAGCCATTGGTTTTTACCGCCCCGAGGGGCGCTACTACAAGTACTAGAATGGATGTTGAAGTGTACATGTGAAAGCGTGATAACTAAACTTCTCACACTTGACACTAAAACAGGATGAATTAACGAAAAGTTAAAAATCATTAAACCAAATGACAAGGATGCTACAGAATTCATAGGATTTATACAGTTTTTAAGATTGATAAATTCTTTAATAAATCCGTTCAGCTTTTTGAGTTAAATAGACATACATGCTTCTCTAGGTTACAGGGTAATGTAACAAGGATACATACTTAATTTGCTGATATAGTGAGATAAGTACAGCTTAGTAACTAATGTCATTAACTTACATATCCACGGTTGCCTTGAATTATCGACAGTAATAAACACACAAAACAGGATGCAATAAATGAGTTATAACTCTTAGAATGAGCAGGGACATTTTAATCAGAACGCGATATATTATAATCTATCTTATCCAAATAGCTTGTAAAATTAAATTACCTTCTAGCTGGTAGGTTTACACCGGCAGCTAATGTGGACGTGCAACACAACACCCGGAGAACCCCTTCATTATATGCTGTTTCTAGTGCATTTCTCTCTTCCTGTGTAAGTCCACTATGATGATAGGCTATTCCTTTTGGAACTGTAAACTCCAACACTGGACAACAAGCTTGAGCCTTTTCTTTTGGACCATCTCTATTATTAGCTTCAATTACATTATCAAGACGCAAATTTTCCAGTAGTAGTGATCTCTGTTCAACAATATTTTTCTCTACTGTATAATCTTCATCATTTGAATGAGGGAAACATGCTGAGATCGGTAGAAGTTCTGCCAACATTCTGGCTGTATTCTCACAGTGGACCTTAGTTGGACAAAATACTAAACAAGAAAATCTGTGTTTAGATGACCGATTAAATGATGAATGGAAAAGTCGATTGCTGCACCAATCATCCATTGAATGACCAAGTAGAGTTTCTGCAACAAGTGCAACTAGATGATCTGGATCTCGAGAAATCAACTTCTTTGTATACTAAAATGAGCAAATGAAAGGAAGACAGTTCCAATCTATTATTCAATAAAACTGTCTACACCTAAGTAAAATCAAACAACACAAATCTCCAAAGAAACCACAGAAATTAAATAATTTATATAGTTCTACAAAAGACTAATCATATATACAGAGGAACTTTTATGATTAAAAATCGCAGAAAGATAAAAGTTTATAAAATACAACTTGATAATAACTCTTAAAGGATAATCAGTTAGATCCACACTTCAGTTGGTAAGGTCTTGCAACTAGTACGACCTCTTACAACAAACATATCTGCATAGGCTCCTGAAGAAATAAACGTTTGAATGTGGTTATCGTAGTGAACAATTAGGTTAGTTTACACCGACAGAAGACACTTTTGTACTACCATCATAGTGATAGTATTGAGTCAGTGATACTAGCCGTGAGCTATGACCGTACTTGAATAACTTCTTTTTCCTAGCCAATAATAATATGACACAGAGTAAGAGACATTGTTCGACTTTGTAACTGCACACGCCGCCCTATGGGCTTTTTAACATTGCTGACTACTTAAATCTCTTCATCAATCTTCATGTTGACGCAGACATAATAAAGTATCTTAAAGAATGAAGGATAATCGGGCACCATTTTCTTTAATATCTTCATCATTTCTGTATTGATAAGCATGTCATAACTTTTACTGTTACGTAGGATAACTTACATATAATTGTAACCCAGCTTCATGTAGTTTGAATAGCGAAACAAATGATTAAATACACGAGGCGGTTATCACATTCTAGCCGATATTACACACTAAAGTCCTCAGCGTTCAATTAAAAGGAAACAGTAAGCAGCCTAAAATAAGTGAATCCACATTACACTCTACACTGTTTGATACCCATTCATACTTTTATGGAAATTAGTAAAGTGTTAGTCCCAATGCTCTGTCAGAATGCATCACTAATTCCTCACATGAACTTGAAATAAGTTGGAACGCTGTGCCACACCAAAATTGTGTGATTTCGTTGACTAACATTATCGATATGAATTTTTTTTTTTTGAGAGGGGGTTGATTTCATGTTAAATTTAAATAATCTAATTCAGAATAAATTCAGATATACCATTAGCATACTACGTGTTATAAGTCAGTTGACTTACACAGAGTCACGAAAAACGTGAAAACAAACTCATTTATAATGGGATGATAGGAAACACACCTGAAAGTCTAGCATTCGACGATGAGCGAGTCTATCAGCAATATCATTATCTTTAGAGTTAGATGTAGGAAATTTCTTGGGTGTAATCTCGTACATATGATCACCGACTTTTACATATTCAACCAACTTGACAGGACGAAAGTTGTTGACATACAATTCTGCGCTCAAAAAACCAGTTAATTCAGATATGTTGGCGAGTGTAGCACTCATGCCAATAATACGAGTGGTAGCTATAAATAAATACACACAGAACGCTAAATGTTATCTTGATACAAAAAATTGCCAGTTGAAGCAAGATACAAATACACATTATTCATTCCTTGGTGGCAATGTTGAAATGGAACAAAACGCCTTATGCACAGACATTTGCGCGAGGAAACTTCATTTTTTCGACAGGTTCACACATATCTGCATTATTCCAACACTTCCAGGTTGTGGAGTCGATCAAAACTATTAGATAAGTGTATCAGATGACTCTCCACATAAAGTGGTGAACACCGTAACAATAAACTAATCAAGTTTTGGACTACCTTCTCAACTTCTGTCTTCATTTCATACAACACTGACAATTAGATACATTTCAAGTAAAAACAAATTTGTATCTTATGGTGTGTGTGTTTGTGTGCACACGCACGCGCATGCTATAAAATGAAACTGCTCACCGAAGTTAGTTGCTTGACGTGAAACACTTATACACAATTTTCACCCTTTATGTTATCGAGTAAATAATTCAGTACACCTTGATATCTCCACATAAACAAGTCTAACACTGAAGCTAGACTTAACTTCAGAATTCTGTGTGACCGCCACAAGAAGGCAGATGAATAGTTCACACTTTGTCATCATAAAATATTTCTTTTAATAACTCCTTCCATCTTCATTGAGAGAAGTTGAAAATTATTGAAAGTTCTCGTAACTGACTGGGAAAGGTAAACCATAAAACAATGAAGACAAGAATCAGGAAAAAGACCTGTTGGAAATAGCAGACTGAGACTAGTGTTCAGGGTGGACGGAGTTCAATCATAAAGAGAAAGAGATGCATGAACATCACTATCCGCAAACAAATTATGTCGCACCACATAAACTACTCACTTGCAGCGAAAATCAGTAGTCATCTCCAATTGACGAGAAAACTGTTAGCTTTGCACACACACACAGTCATTCAAATTCTAATCCTGCAGATTAACACAGAAACCAGGTCAATTTGTTCATTCAGTAGGTGATGAGAAGAATTTGACGACCCTCACTCGTCTGCATTCTCAGACAGTACATTACTGCTGAGATCACTACAGTTTCTAGCTAAACATTAAAAATATGTATTCACCACCTCAGTGAGTGTGTATTTGCTACAATTGGGCATTAGAATCGTCAGGTACTGAACAGCTCTTTCACTACAATCATGAACTCATCAGTAATGTGCATTCACAACCCAGTGTGAGATGGAATCATCGACCAGAGAAGAAGACTCATACTGAATCGGTTACTATTCAATCAGTGGGTTGTAATTCAGTGCTTCGTGATTTCCAACTAATACAGCCAAGTGATGTTAAGACGATAATAGCATCCAATGCTATATTCTTCTTTCATATTTGAAAATTATTACAACATGTATTTAATGAATGATTTGCATATTTGTATTTACAGGATCACAAATAGGACATACTGTATTCGAGGTGTTAGCTGGAAGTTTGGGTAAAAGAGTGATTTCTCAGTGCTTCGAACGCATAGATACTGAACTGATTTCTCGATGAATAAATCTTGTCCTAGTTTAGCTGTATTGGTGTTTGAAAACAATTCTTAGGAACTTTGATGTTCACTCCTTGAAAGCTGACTACACAAAAACCCTAGTGCCTTTTCTGGAAAACTTATTGATCAGTATGGTAATGAAAAGTGACTGGCAGAAGTCTTCAGACAACTAGGAATTCACCTAAAATTAAAGATAAACGACAGGGTGACTAACAAATTCAGTGCATCTTGAAGAATTCTACGCTTTTATTTTGTAGTATTTATTCCCTCAATTTCGAAGCAATTACAGAAAATTGGTCCTCTAAGAAGAAACAAACACTTCTAACTTATCGTCGGTATTCAGTAGATTAGGATATACTATCAGTTTGGCAATAATAAGAACACACATTGAAGTGTTTTTTGGGAGTTGTTAATACTACCTTCCAATCGAAAGCTTGATGAAAGTAGATTAAACTGATGAGCTAGGGTTTCATATCGAAATCGACTATACTTATTATCCTAAGGGCCTTTCCATCACGAATTATTGATAGACATCTCAAATCTTCAAGTATTGGCTTTATAGGATATTTTGTTTAATTGGTTGGAGGATTTCATCATGAGCTGACATCAGTTAGAGAACCATTGGAAAACCAACAGGGAGTACTGGATAGCTGTTTCGTCCTAGTTTGGAAACCCGATAGGTGCGTACTGATGAAGAGCCTCAAACTAGGACGAAACAACTGTCCAGTACTCCCTGTTGGTTTTCCAATGGTTCACTAACTGATGTCAGCTCATGAAGAAGTCCTCCAACATTTCAAATCCCAAAAATCCATAATATCATAGTCTTCATTATTTACCTGATGACAAATACACTGAGCAGATCTTACCAAGTATTTAAATATTAATAAGCATTTGAAAAAAAATACATAGGAAAACCAAGTAACAAAAAATAAACGTACGAGAAGCCAATCGCAATTTAGTCAGAACCATTTCTAGGCACGCGCCACGCGGCCCACCATCACCGACCATATGCAGCTAATGAATAAAACCATTAATAACGTTTAAGCAACAGAAATTTTAAAATTCAATGCTTGTTTTAAAACAGAAGATTCTAAGCGTAGCAGAATGCAGTTATTAGTGTATCTGAATACAACTCAGAAGTGTTTTCTGCACAGGAACAGACAGTAATTATCTCAGTAAGAGGTTTTAGGCGAATCCGAATTTTACACACTGATGGTCGGTAGATAATATACAGATAAGCTACCTCAGTATGCAGAATTGAATTTAAAATAGAGCGTGTTACTTGATGGGTAGACTGGCCACATACCTGATATCTTTAACTTCCGTATGTATTTTAAATGCCCTAGTTCGCCAAATCGCCCTGAGAATTCTAAATAAAAATATACAGATTCTTCTACACAAGATGTGATGCATATGATAGTGGTCAGGGAAATTCTACTTTCAGTTAAGTGGAATTATTGCGAAACATAATAAATAGTAGGTAGTTTCAACGTATAATTCGGCAAAAGCAGTCCATTCAATTTCATGCAGTGAACGACCACATGAAAACTGGAGATATCGGTGTCAGCTTTAGACAGGTAACTGGGATTTATGCTACAGATGAACCCAATGTTAGAATGAGCAGGTGGTAGTTCTAGGACAAACAGTATAATCTCCAACACTTCTGAAAGTCACCTCTAGTGAAAGTTAATAACCATACTATTAAAATAATCTTTAAAAGAATAAATTGAAAGCAGTATATTTCGTATTACCTCATCTACAATGACCAATCCCAAAGTGTCCAATGACTTTGTATCAATCAAAGAGTTTACTATAGTATGCGACTTCTCAATAGTAGCCATAAGAACAGAATAAGATCCTTTGCGTTTTACTGGAGGGATTCGTCCGCGATTTCCGGCGTATTCCTCAACCCAGAAACCAAGTTCCAAACCCATTGGAGTGAGTGATCGAACCTAAGCGTAAAGGTATATCAGACACTTCAAAATATTTGCAGATGTAACATCCTGTAAAAAATTAGCATACGTAAACACCGAACATAGTACTGTTTAAGTTGAAAGGTTTAACAAGAAACACTAGACACTTAAATCACACAAAAGACAAGCTAAAAATCACGACCAGCTCAAATGAGGTTCAATTATTTTGAAATATATGATATGTACAGCAGATACCAAAATCCCACTATTAGCAGACTTCAGTGTAGCACTGAGGATCGTCATGATAATTATTCCATAGGTGAACAGTAAAACACAATTACGCATTAGTTCAGATTATGAGGTTTAAAAACTACACTGAAGTAATAAACCAATAAGAAAAATAAAATAATAGAATGAACTACGTGAACAAGATTGTGAAGGACACATTGATTCTTAGTACTATCACCTAAAATCCCTAAAACCAAGTTATTTTTCATGATACGCATCAAATGACTATGAGTTGCTGTCTTCTCCCATTTTTATCAACCGGTAGTCACACTCAGAAAATTAAGAGGTTGGTGTAGATGTGGACAGCAGACAACCGGCTAGTTTATGTCATTTAATCTTAAGTAGTACACACTGTGATCTGAACACACCTCATTAATTGATCTCATTACATGCCAAGAGCTTCAGAGCTACTAGTGATCACATATTTATAACACCAGTATATGCATTCAAGCCGTGAGAAAAGAAAAAACCAAGTTTTAGATTGCTATGAATTACAAAATCAGGATCAAAACACTTGTATCAAATTAAATAGAGTGATTACTAACGATATCAATGACTTGAAACTGACTAATTGATTGTGTGATGAAATTATTTGCTTCATGCATCAAAATTCATGTCTAGGTTTGGAGAAAAAAATACTACAGCCTGTGAAATGACAGATATATCAGTTTGATTTTGAAAGGAATATAAGTTAAATGTTTTAAATAACATACCTTCTCTTGAACTATTGAGACAAATGGTAAAATAAAAAGTACACTTTTACCATGAACTAGAAGTTCTTTGAGCATAAGAATTTCTGCGACCAATGTCTTGCCTCCACTTGTTGGTAGACTGTAAACAAGATTGGCACCGTTTGCTACAGCCGTCATACTCAAACACTCCTTTTGCCAATCTAGTAAAAATAAAGAAGAATACCTAGAGTAAATTAAGTAACCATAAAGTAAGAATCTATACAAAAATTTCAGATAATTACAGATTATTCAGCAGTTAACATGACCATTATTTACCCGTCATTAGAAAACAATTTCAAGGATATCGAAATACAGCTTCCAAAAAGGCGATCCCAAGGAAATCACATCAACAATAAGTATCTAATTAAATTTATAGAATTATTGCATAAAAGACCACAAGGTTAGTCAACACCAAATTACTACACATCATCGTGGAAGAGCGTCTTTTAGAAACTGGGGTTAATAATACACAGGTTACTCTTACCATTAGAACCGAGCTAATAAGTGTTAACACCTGACAAAATCAGGTGATACCAAAATGAGGGTTGATTTCACAACCACCATGTGAGCCCATGAATATATGAATTTGTATTTTGATGAATTTGCAACAGAATTGGGATTACAGGAGTCAAAAAGCACAACTTGTATGATCCTTTACGGGAAAAATTAGAGAAATTAGTATCTGTCTGTACAATCATGAAGTTACTTGTTCAATGGAATTCAAGACATGCATTTCATCTTATTTGAGACTCCTCAGCTTCGGTGTTTGTAGCAGTGGGTGCTGGGTTCGCCTCATTGAGGATACCTGTACTCAGAGGGAAGCAAAACATCCAGCTCACGAGTCCCAGACCGGAGGAAATGTGTGTCCTGGATTTTAACGCCAGCCAACACCCAACAAGTAACTCCGACTTGTCGATCCTGATAATATAGGGGCATCCATTTAAGAAGCCCAAGTATCAAAACGAGTGTGATGGATTCAATTCAGATATTTTAGCGGGATATCATATATACGAATAAATAACTACTAAAATATTAACGAACACGTCGCAGGACGCGGATTAAAATTTCAATCAGTCACCTTCTAATAAGGTAAAAAGAAGGTCAACTAAAATCCTCTAAGGTTTTTTTCTCCGAATGGGAGACAACTGAAATACTTGAAGTATGTACAACTTTGCACAAATGTTCGAGTTGTCACACTTCATGTAGCACACAAAGCAAGAGAAGCGAGATAATAAACAGAAATATGAGGAAAACAAAATGGTAATACTGAAGAACAACAGAATTTTGTTGGATATTATAGAACACAAAGAGTGAATGAATCTACACCAGTATAACGGTAGAGGATGAAGGACTTGGTAAAGGAATATTTACTTGAAAATTAGTGTCTCTATATGGCCAAATTATGTATAACTTACATTCAACGAACCATTTGCACAGATCTTTGTGTTGTGATACTTCTGACCTTCATATTGTGTTCCTTTCACGTCTCCCATGTATCTCCACAGCGCTGTACCATTTGCCTTCTCTGATATCAAATATGTCTCTCTGCTATTTGATGTTTTTTATGCCAATGAACGTCTATTTATATACCGCAGATAAATCTTATCAGTAGCACTCGCCACAACATCACGCAGAACGATTTTGAGCCATATCACCGATTGTCTCCAGTCACTGTTTTTTACAATCCCGAGGACCCTAACCAGTCAAGAAATCTACATTTCCCGACTTCGCTTAAACTAAATGTTATGGATTTCACTGACTAGTGCCATTTTTTAGTTTGACTACCACTAGCTCTCTCTTCCAACCTGATCCTATGTCAGCTAGCTAACATTGCCCACTGTCGAGGAAGGCGATAGATAATGGCTAGGCATGTGTAACACATGTCCTAACCATCTCAATCGGTGTAACTTCACAACCCTCGTCCATTGATTACCCCTCCTTACCCAACACTCCACCGAAGCCTAACTTCAAAATTGCTGACCCTATTATGCCACTTAACATGGGAGATAGGACTCAGATACCTATGATCAAAGACAGTTAGCCGGCCTCTTCCTGTCTTCCACTCTCAATGGCCATGTCTCGCTCACAGCCATAAAGGAGGACAGAGTGACCTGGTGAGCAGTACACACACCCTTGTTTCGACAACCGGATATCACATCTACCAAGCCAGACATGCCGTAAGTTGGCATATACTAAACGAGCCTTCTGTGTCCGTGCAGAGATTTCGTCAGCGATCAACCCATTGGGGCTGATGCAACTTTCTAAAAAAGTGAATTGGTCAACACGCTCTACCACTTCACTCTCTATCTCTAAGCTAGGAGTCAGTGTAATCCAGTCGAGTCCCGTAGCATCATCTTGCATTTGAAGGGGGTGAATTGCATGCCAAACATACGCCGATTGCTGCTCAAGGTGTTCAGAAGACTCTGCATTTCGTCAGCGTCTTCATCTAAGTGCAGGACTATATCATCTGCATATTCTAAGTCAACGAAATTATACCCTCGTAACAAGTCAATCCCTGAAGTCAGTTAGAGTTAAGTCCACTAGTAGTACATCTATGATGAAATTAGACAGAAATGGGGACAGTGGGCATCCCTGTCGGACACCACTAGTTATCGCCACTTCAAGTGACATCCCTCCATAGACTCTCACCCGACTGACTGCATGAGTTCGAGTAGAGTGAGTGGCTTGATCAGTGCAATGTATTTTCTCGGCATTCCCTTCACAGACAAACATTGCCATAGTACCTCTCGGTTGACGGAATCGAATGCCGCTTTCAGATCAAAAAATATGACTACTGTTGGACGCCGGTAAGTATGTCTATGTTCCAGAATCTGTCAAAGGGTGAAGATATGACCAATACACCCTCTTCCTGGTCTAAAGCCTGCCTGATTCTCCCGTGTTTCTTCCTCTTGAGCACCACTTAGTCTACGCATTATTATTGAGCCTAGAACTTTAGATACCATATTGGTTAAGTTAATCCCCCTGTGATTATCACAGGAAAGCTTGTCTCCCTTCCTGTACATAGGAATAATCAATGACTTACACCAACCCGATATGACTTCCTCTGATTCCCAGACGCTGCCTAATACCTTAGTTAACGCAGACAATAAATTGTTTTCACCGTCCTTAAATATCCCTGGAGTCATTCGGTCAGGTCCCGCTGCTTTGCCTCGTTTCAAACTAGTGACACATTTTGTAACCTCAGTTAGGCATGGAGGACTTGTATTTATATCCCATTCAGGAATGTGTTGGATGCTGGGTAAGTTAAGCGTGACTGCACGTCAGTTAAATTGCCCGTTAAAGTGTTCTTTCCAACATTCCAGCCGTCTATCCTGAGAGCTAATAATGGTGGCAGTTTTCTCAGAGATTGTTTCACTTATCATTTGCGTTTTGCCACCTGTTTTCCTGATAAGTCTAAATAGTTGTCTGGTGTTACCAATCGTCGATGCCTTTTCCATCTCTCGCTTTTGTCGCCCACCACTGTTCACGGTCGTTTCGGGGGCTTCTTGTTATTTTACGTTTGAGTAGCCTTCGCTCCTCATCATAATCAGATCTCGCCGGAACCAGTCTTCTTGCGTCAATCAGTTCGGATGAGGTGGTAGAAATCCAGGTCTCAGGTTATCAACAGTTTTTATAGCCGGGTCTACTGTTAACTGTATGTTGTACTAGGCTTCTTCAGGAGGAGTCCTGCTGTTGACCTGAGATACTCGTTTCGCTATTTCTTCCATAAGTAGGGACTCAGAGTCTCGATCTGTCTAGGGACGCAACTGCTTCGCTGCCAACAATTTCCTATGTCCGTTTAATCGTAAGCACGAATATGCGTGACCGGACTCTACGCACGTTTTCCAGAAGGAGCGGCAGTCTTCTGCTGACCCTCGCCAACGAAATCCTTTGCCTATATGGTCTATCTGAGTCCAGCGTTGATTTGGTGATGGAGGTCTCCAAGTTACGCAGTGTCTCTCTTCGTGCTTAAAGATAATGGTGATTAGGAGCAGATGATTGTCTGAAAACGATCAATGTTGTCGGTTTGTGGGCAGTGAAATCCGTAGGTATCACCTATATACTTCTCAATCTGGCACAACTTCCCTACTTTGGCATTGAAGTCGCCTGTTAAAACAACTATACCTGAGCGTTTTGCTTTTTGCAGTACACTGGACAATTCATGGCAGAAACCATCCTTTATTGTATCGGAACTGCAGCCGGTTGAGGCGTAAGAGGAGACTATGAAAAGATAACGACGGGTAACGTCGTCCTTCTTTCTTCTAGCAGACCCATTCAGACGAACCGCACACATACGACCATCTACTGTAATTCAGTCAAGAAGTGATTTTTGTGCTCTTACACTCAATGCTATCTCTACACCTGCGAGTCCTCTTGAAGTAGCTGAGGGGTCTCCTGACACTCTTAAGGTTAACTTTGCGGATTCACCTTGTTGGCTGGGTGGAGTTAAGTGAATAACAGCACTAAGCTATTGACTGTGGTATGAACAATCTAATGAGATTGGTTTGGGATTCTGAGAAGGCTAAGAATAGACAGTTAGTAACCATTTAGTGAAATAGATCAGAAGTGTTTATAAAGTAGCAGATGTACTCACACCTTAATATTTCCCAGATTTGAATATCGGCATTAATAGTCATTAAGCTACTCTCCTACATATATCCGTCCTTGTAGTATCATTACATTTCTTTTCTATTGTGCGCTTCAGCTGTATAGCAATTAAAACTGATACGCCTACACCCAAACCACAAGTTGATTTGTCAATCAGTTAGTAAAAATTCGAAAAACGAAAACTTCAAATTAAATTGGACATAAGAACATTCTTAAATTTCCTTATCAATACCCCATAATTACTAGTATATAGGCCTCTTAAGCATAATTTAATATTTTAAAAAACTATGAGTATGTGTTTATGAACTACTGAGGGAAGCCGGAAAAATTCAATGAAAGCCACTACAAAATATAAACAACGAATAATAAAAGTAAGTACTTAAATGTTAGAAAACGCTCACCGTATAATTTTGTTACACCGCGAAGTTCATGGAAAAGATCTTTTACACGTAAAGGCAAACCAAAAAAGTCTTCCATGAAAGACCGTGAAACCTCAGTGCAATCTGAAAACAGGTATTATAATAGTTATAATTACCTGATTGATTCATAGCTGTTTCTTCGACAAGTGACACATTATTCACTGTGTTAGATTTGTTGGAGGATCGATCACTCTTAGACTTCCGATTGCCAATAGGTGTTGAGGAATTTAAGGACTTCCGGGTTTTCGACCTCAATAATAAAATATTTATAGATTGAAAATACGAAATAATCACTCAATATATTTCTTTGAATGGTGCTAAAAACGGTGACTAATATCATTACTATTTTTATTTATCTAAAATTCTGGATCAATTAATCACGCGTTTTGCGAAGACTGCAGAGCAATATAGCAGTCAATATTTTAGACGAGACTGGCAACCGACTAGTACTCGTACGAGTCGCATGTACTACGTAGACACAACATTAGCTTCATTCCTCATTGATGGAACATTCTCTTTTTCCCATACTCTCCTAAACAATTCAGTCAGTTCCTTGACTAGTCTTATTAGCATCTTCAAAGTGTCTGAAGGAAGTTGTGTGGGTCAAGTGCCTTACTACTCTTGGGTACTTGGAGCTCCTTTTACACATCCACTTCGTTAGGTGGGTCAGTATTAACCAACTGTGGAGTATTGTGATTAATAATATTGGATACTTGCACTGTGGGCTAGTTAAATTGTTTCCAGAAGTACTCTTCTAAGCGTTCCAGACGGCTTGGGTTGATACTTAGCGTGCTGTTTACCTTACAACTTTCGTAATTATTGCACTTGCTGCAACGTGGTCTGTATGAGATGCAATAGCTTGCAACTGCTGCCAGATGCAGCTGTTGGTTTGTCACCGCGAAATCTTATAGTCACAACAAACGCACGTCTGAATGGCCGTTAGAAAAAGTTCCTGAAAAGTTTGTTAACATTTTGAAAGCCCTACACAAAAACGCCTCAGGCATAGTGAAGGAGAAACTTTAGTTTATACAAATCAGCTTCTAAGTGCATGTATCAGTTCTTCTGTTCTTGTAGGGCCAAGTGTAATGGTCATTCGACGAGTATCCTGTCTAAAGGGGTTCCAGAACACTATTCTGCATGGTTGCAGAAAATAAGACGTGCTTGAAGTTAGTGAACATCAGCAACAAGTAGCTAATTAAAGAAAGCTATGGAAAACTACCATTATTGTTGCCTCATCGACGTGTGTTTTCCTCAATATACCCTTCAAGGGGCTCATCCATCTTGACAGAAAAATCGCTAGCACAACCATACCTGAATGTTGTGCATTAAAATTAACACCTGATGGAGTTAATCACTAATTTATCTGAATTGCTATCAGTGGGGATGATTTCAGTGAATATTATGAGCTTTCTACGTTATTATATATATCCACCCAGTTGAACACAGACGATTAACCAACTGAAGCGGAGTATTCCTGCTTTTTAAAATAAGGCGTTTTATTGGCCAACACCCTTACGATAAGTAGTTATAGAATCTTCAGATGCGTATGCTGCTAGAATGTGGCTTATTGGTTTATGCACTTTAGTTTCAGCTAATAGAACTCAGGTTTAAATAATACCCCACTCTATTTTAGCCTGGGCAACTGGGTCGTATTTTTAACATTCACAAAACAGTGGCTCACAACCTGGCAAATAAAAAATCTCTTTCGGGTAACTGGATAAATGGGGTTTAGTCACGTCTCAGAGGTTTAACGCATATTCATTATCTGAGTAAGTTTCGATGAGTAAATATAATAGCGACGTTACTTAATGACGACAGTCGTTTCAATGCAATTGGCAACCAACCGTTTATTGCAACTTACTCCCTGAAAACTTGATAGGTGGAGAGGTCTTCGAAGTTATGACCCACTGATCTTAAAATAAATGCTCATTTAACGATCTTTATAATCTCGCTTGAGGTGATTCAGGGGTAGAAAGCTTAATCAAGAAGTTGGTTGCATAATTTCAACAGGTATGTTCGCAGCACCGCAATATGCAAACATGCTATAATACCCGTATAATTAACTAATCCAAAAACTAGTACTATCTATATCAGTTCTCTTTTATTTTCTCATACGCTTATTAAATCAAATTACTATCTGCTGGTAAAACCTTGCTGTGATTACAAACCCGGCTGAAAGGTTTTAGAGTTGTTTCTCAGACGTGTAGTGAAAATAACGCTCCAGATTATTCATCCCTAGTATGTTAGAAATCACTTGGAGTGCAAGAATCACATGGCCAGTCCGAGTTTTAAACACGAAAGTACACTAAAGTCAGCGGGTTCCCATACAGCAACCACGTCCACGTCATGCAACATGCTACTGGGTACTTTCAACATGATATTCTTATAATACAATAAGCTTGTGTTCTAAATAGCATTACAAGTGAATGTACCTATGTCTATCAGCTTGCGATCTGAAAAACTAAATAATCTACGTAACACAACTGAACAGTAGAAATTGAGTGCTATTAGTAGGCTATAAGCTTGCTGGGTCTCATAATTAGAGATCGCAGAAGTATGAAAAATTTGAGACTAGACTTTGAGAAGACATTTGACACTGTTCACCATGACCTCCTCCTACACAAAATAAGCCAGGTAGGTATAGGTAAACCACTTCTGTCATGGTTAAAGGACTACCTAGCTGAAAGGCAATTTTGCACCAAGGTAGATCGAGTCCGATCATCTTGGCACAGCTCGTCATCAGGAGTGTCTCAGGGTTCTATCCTGGGACCACTGATGTTCTTGATTTTTATTAATGATCTACCATGCCGTCTAAGCTGCCCGACTCTTCTATACACTGACGACGTGAAGATATGGAGGGCGATAAGGTGTCCGGAGGACTCAGATAGACTGCAGGCAGATCTAAGGTTTCTGGAAGACTGTGCGGTGGCCAGTAGCATGACTTTCAACCTGAAAAAGTGCAAAGTAGTGAAGTTACGCACCTGTAGACTACAGAATGCAAGTTACACCCTGTGCAATGAAAGCTTGTCCTGCTCAACGTCGGAACGTGACTTAGGTCTAGTTCTAACGGAGAAAATGGACACAAGCGTAAATTACACGGGGGATGTAGCGAGAGCATATGCGGTCATACACTTTACACATAGACAGTTAGGTGCACTCACTCCTGAGCTCTTTCTAAGGTTGTATAAAACATACGTCAGACCACACCTTGAAGTACACAGTATTATTGCACCCCCCACTGCTTAGAAAAGACACCAACCTCTTGGAAAGAGTCCAACGACGGGTAACAAAAGGAGTGGTTGGTCTCCGAAATAAACCATATGATGAAAGGCTGAAGAAATTAGGCCTTTTCACACTTAGTTACCGTCGTCTTAGGGGGGATTTGATTACTGCTTACAAAATAACAAATGATCAGAATCACCCAAACAAAGGTGTTCTGCCATTGAGTAGGTATAGGCTTCCTCGTGGAAATCCCAGAAGGACAGCTCACCAGAGGGCAAGGATCCGGGTGCGCTCCCACTTCTTTTCACTGCGGGTTTCTTGTCCCTGGAATTCCTTACCGGCAGACGTAGCTATGGCACCGTCAGTGGACGCCTTTAAGCGAAGGCTGGACAATCATGTGGCGACACAAGGACTGCATCCCCTTAAAATCGCATACACCATTCAAAGGTAGACAATTAAACTGGTCGTTTTACTTCTTTACATTCTCTTCCGTCTTACTCTCCTGACACCTTTAACTACACCTATTATTATCATTATCATTATTACCGGTATATATGTTGTTCATATTATTCATATTCTTCAAATTTAATCATCTGACTGTTGTTACGTTTTCTTATTCTTTTTCTCTCTGTTAGTCTGAATAACTCCACTAGTTATATCTATTATTATTATCATATTTTCTTTTGATGACGAAACCGGAGGACTAACTGGTGAAAGGATCAACTCCATTCACAGTAGTAACAGTCTTAACACACCTCATTCTACAAACCACATACAATTAATCCCTGCACTACTCCTTTTGGATTCAACCAAAGCTACGACAGTCGAGTGGTGGGACGAGCTGCGCAGAAGTTTACCGAAGATCAGGAACTTATACCTCACAATCAAGAGGCGAGCACAAAGAAATCAAACTGGTTTATACTAGCTCGTAAAAACGATACTGGATATCTATATATATAATCATCCATAAAACCAGTCTGCAAATAGGTCGATAGTGCACCAGTATGGGTAGTCCTAATTTTCACCACTGATTCACTAAATTATATGCTATTATACAACACGATAGCCTCTTGAATTTTTCTAAAAGGCAAAAATGCTCATAAGGAATGTGCTCGGGAAAACTTGTAAAATGAATACGCTTTAGACCTTGTCAGTGTTATTGAGTCAGTTAGCCAGTTTGAAAGAATTTCTAATTATTATAAGGAAAGAGAAATATATTTCTGCAGCAAATGATTTATATATTATTTGCTGCCAGTGAATATCTGAAGACCGTTACAGTTCATAAAATTTCACCTACGGAAAATTACATCCAGCAAAAAGTTAAAATTCTCCCTTCATTTGCATTTGAGGCAAAAACCGGTTAAACAGCTCTGTAGAACTTTATTCATTGTACCACATATATATAACTGGAGATTGTCACCAAAATATTTGAGATTTCCCCATAGATTTCATCTTGAAAAAAATTGCCACACAGCATGGCTTTATCTTAAGTTAACAAGAGACTAATAATCTCAATTTTATGTAGACTTAGAAATAAACATGCCTCATGTTCAAAAAGTCTGTTTACTGACCAAGAATAACATACCAGCATAAACAAACAAAAACTATGCAGCATTCAAATCAAAGAAACTTGGCTTTGATTTAAAAATATAGTGCTAAAGATATAGAGAAATAAACCGATAATTTTTTACTGCTCCATTTAGATGTTCGCTGTTATTTGTTAGTAGTTAATGTGTAAATATAATCCAAATGACTCCAGACTACTGTCATCTTCGTTTAGTCGGTTGCTTTCGGTGGTATTTTTTCATCACACATAGCAGTTACAAAATATTTCACACTTTGGTGTCGTCACATAATTAAATAACCATGGGTTTCTGCGAGGAGTCTCAGAATTTTTTACTGGTCTCATACATTGTTTATGTCTAAGAATGCCTGAAATAATAGGATTCCTTTGTATTTTTACTACAACTGGAATAGGAGCCTATAAAGTACTGAATTCTCATGCATTTCCAGAAAAGCCAATTTCCCTGGCATAAAAGAAACTTCTAACGGATTATTTCAAATTTGCTTCTTTTGGAACGTTACACTAAGCTTGTCCATGCTCCCAGCGAGAACATTCGAGACCTGATCCTCCAGCTGCAAATATAAGCCTGGAAGTGCGACCAGTTGTAATAGCTTTGAACACAATTACGTGATCTTCTGACTACTGATATTAGTATTCCAAGCTAAATTGGGAGCTGTATCTAGTTCTTCTTCCACCTTTCAGGCCGCCTAAGACATATCTAACATGTTTGAAAATGTCCTAAATCAATGCGCCCTTCCCATTTAATGCAATCTTATTCAAGGTTCTTGAGTCAGGTGTTCATACTGATAGACCATCAGTGGTAGACAATCCCATAAATTTAATATCTTACAGCATTCACCACTCAGCATTGGATACTGATCTTTACTGTTTAAGTTGAGTTGTTTAGCTATAGGTCAAGTGTCCAAGCTAATTGGCATGCTGCCATGATGTGTTCGTTCCTTCGTGCACATCTCTAGCTAGTTAACCAATCGTACTCGCACTACGACCTTTGTCCCGAAAAGTATTTCGTATTTTTAGGTGGTCGATCAGGTGTTTCCATTTAACTCTGGTCTCCGCAGAGCAAATTAAAAGAGGAGTCGTGGGGGTAGGAACTTGTGTTGGTATCTACTATACCTTCCATAAATGTCGACACATCTCCCATTCCCTCAAGACGCAAAACGCAACACACCTATAGCAAGTTCCTGATATATAGGTAAAATATCAAATGACGTCTTTTATTTTGGAGGATACTCTTAGGGAATGCTGTTATATGTACTAGGACGGGGCATATTTTTCACATCTGCAGAAATTAAAATGACTTGACCACGAAGAACTCACATGAATCTTGTGATTTATCAAGCAAAATTGGGTCACTATCTTTTTCAGCATTTAAGAATACACACATACATTAAAATGTTAGACCTGATTAGCACATCGTTGATTAATATTGGGAGCTTGGGGATTTATTGTAATTGTTTAAATCTGTACAGAAAAGGCCTGCTATTGTTTCAACTGCAGAAATCATTCCCAAATATCTGCTGCTGTGCTTCAGTGCTGACAGTTCACAGAGGAAAGGATGGGTGACATTAGGCATTTTCCGTAAACTGGTAGTGGATTTCCCTCATTCCAAAGGGAAATTATACTTCTCCTACATGGTCTGCAAAACACGGTATTATATGAACACTCAGATACTGTAAGCAATTGAAAAGTACAGAAGGGCAAAAGGAGCAACCAAGTAGTATCTATATCTTCTTTATGATTTGTACGGCTTTGTCTATCTACTGAATGATGAATGCTCCTCAGTTTGTTTGGCTAGGTATTCGCTGCTTCGTTTGCCTTCTGCCATGCCTTCGAAAATAAAGCTTCACAGATAATTCTAGTCTTCCACAACATTACAGGTTGTCAGTCGGTAATTTGAATAATCATTCTGATAGAAAAGTCGGTGCCTGAATCGGTGAGTGGATTTCGTTCACATTTTGCCTTCGATTTTGCTATGAATGACTACAGCTCACATATCTTCTGTTTTCTGTCGTTTATCGGATATAGATTTTGGCGAATACTTACTACTTAGTTCGGTATTTTTCACCCATTTTAGTGTTTCATTTGCCAAAAACAGAAACTGACATGCAGTAACTACCAAAGTTAGGTCACTTGAATCTGATCGACATGACCCGCAACTACGGTTTGCTCAGCTAGAGCAATACTTTGACCGGTATATCGTCAAGCCTAAAACTAATGGCTACAGTGGCGTGTGTTTCCGGTTACCTAGTGAGGCTAACAAGAAGGCGCTGGACCTTATACTTCGCACACACCCTAACGAGCAGTCATATGCAGTGCCTAAGTGAGAGATGATAAATGCCCCTTTGTATCAGAAAACTAGTGTGTACAACGGTTGTTTCAAGGGGAGAACATGAGGGATATATCCCCACCATAGTTCTTACGCCACATGCGGAAGCTTGTAGGAGATGGCATAGTGGGAGAGGCTAAGCTGGCTGTAAGTCCTCTCGGAGTATGTACAATGGCCCCTGGACGCACGGGATCCAGACTCTTCCCTTGAAAAGTTAGCACTCATCGCTGACTACACGTTGGGGAGGGAACGACTCACTGAAGGACAGGTACTGGCAAAGACCTGGCAATCTCAGAACTATTGACCAACATTAGATCACCAACGAAATAACTGGTACAAATACAACTAACGTGAAGCAGACAAGTTAGACCACCTAATAGAGGACGCTGATGGTCAAAGAGTAGGCCCAGACAAACTAGGTTAGCAGGCCAATCGCATTGGTGTTATTGAGGGGTTGGTTCATGGTCAAAAAATGAACACAAACATGCGCCTGGCCTAAACTACCCCAGAAGCAATAGAGAAACAAGTGGTCCCTTCTCAGTGACTTCTAGATGGGGTACCCGGCAGTCACCTATTCTAGATCAAGGATAAAAACTCTGACAAACACTTCTCGGTTGATACAGGAGCTGCACTCAGTGTCATACCAAAAGCAAAGGCAGAGACAGGACGACGAAAAGCTCCCCGTTACACTACGGGCCACCAATAAAACCCAGATCGTGGCGCTTGGGCGGAAAACACTGACCCTCGACCTCGGGTTTAAGCAACAGCTGCCATGTGTGTTCACTGTTGCCAAGTCATCTTGGGCATAGGCTTCCTGGGAAGATATGGCTTATTAGTGGATACTCGAAAGAGACATCTAACAATGAAAGAAAGCAGAGCGAGCAAGCGCCATTAGTTGAATCTGGTCCAATCTCCTCCAGTATCAACTGAAAGGTACTAGCGGAATTCCCAGCTCTGACGTCAGCCGACCCTCAAACTTCTAAGTCCGGCTCAAAAATTACTCATACCATAAGGATACATGGCCAGGGACATTGGCCCCAGAGGAGCTAAAAGTAGCGAAAGCTGAATCTGATTACATGCTTCAGTAGAGGGTTATTCGGCCCCCAAGTAGTCAATATGTTTCGCCGCTACACGTGTTGCCTGGGAAAATTGGCGCCCTTGTGGTGATTAGAGGGCCCCAAATAAGCAAACTAATCCAGACAGGTACACAGTGCCACATATTCCGGGCTTTACTAATAGTCTTCGTGGTTGATGGAAGTGCAAAACTTGGGTAGTGTGGTAGGCAGTTTTATATTAGATAAGTTTATTTTAAAAATCAAACACTGATGCAGTGTTAACAACCGGATGACGTTTTGAGCATAAGTTATCGCTATTAATCATATAAATTTAGTCACATGTTTTCACACTTTGTCTTATATATATTTTCTCTCTTCCTGCCTCTCCAACTTCCCTTTGTTGTTTGTTGCCACTTTCCATATCTCCGGTATGGGCGTTTAAGTGCCACCCTAATTCCAGCGTCATTGAGAATTCTACATAGGGCCTCTGACGTCCCTTCTTTATACAGCGGTGCTACAGAGGCTTTGCGTTATGTACTTTCGTTATTTTCGTCACTTTGATTGCTGGTCTTAGTTTTTCCATGGTTATCCATATATTTCTGAATAAGTTCTGGTGAGTAGTTAGTCACTAGTAATATTCCCTTTATTTGTTTGATTTCGTTCTTTGAATCTGCTGGCCCACTAGTAAGGCGCTTTGTCCGATTAAAAAGATATTTAACTAGAACTATCTTTACCGAATCTGGATGAGACGAATTCAATTTTATGTATTTATCGGTGTGTTGATTTCTCACAAATGCCATTATCTAACCCACCATCTTCTCTTCGTGTTAATCTACAATCTAGCATGGCCAAATCACCCTGATGATTTTCCAAATCAGAAGTGAATTAGCAGCACAATATTTACTAGGACTGAATAAGTGCGAACCTACCACAATATTCCAGTGTCTGAAGAAGATATACTTAAAACAGGCACTACAACCCAATATGGATTATGTGAATATGTTCGGATGCCATTTGGTCTCCGGAATGCTGCACAAACTCTCCAAAGATATATGGATGGCTTGTTTCATGAACTGGCTTCCGCCAAAACATGCATAGATGACCTACTCATCACCAGCCTGGATATAAATGCACACGAAGAGCACATTCGGGCAGTAGAACGCAAACTAGGAGACAATGACAAGACAACCAATCAAAGTGCGTTTTGGGGGCAGAAACAATAGAATTCCTGGGGCATATCATTGACAGTACTGGGATCTCACCAATACTCAAAGGGGTGGATACCATCAAGCAGTGTCCCCTGCCCACAACCCTCACACAACCCCCAAGTTTTGAGGGGTTATTGATTTCTATCGACTCCCTATAACTATCTGCGCACAGTGTATGCAGTCCCTGAATAATGCATTAGGCGGTGGACCAAAGGACTTTCAGTTATCTAAGCAGGGATCCGACGCAATTGCACAGCTGAGAGAAGCGTTAGCGGAAGCCGTACCCTGAAATATTCTTACCCAGATGCCCCTCTTGCGTTCACGGTAGACGCATCAGATAAAGTTGTGGGAGCAGCCTTAAACCAGCCAGTATAAAATGGATCCAATAGCATTCTCCTCTAAAT